AGGGGTGGGTGGGGGATGAGATTACGACAAATTAATTTCTTCAGTGGAACAACTTCAATGAAACCTACCTCAGAGACAAAAGAAAGAAAAAATCATGGTCAAATGGCACTTTTGGTGGGTCAGAATGAAAGGGAAGACTGTGTGAGGAGGGAAAAACACTGCAATACAAATCATCACCATGAAGCAAGCAGTTGAGAGACTCAGTGTATGATGTGGATTCTCAAAGGATTGCACCATCTTGCACTGATTGTGCTTAAAATCAGACAAAGTCTAATGTCATGGTGTTGTGGCAACTTATTTTACATGCATGTATATGTGCATGTATAAGAAAGAAAGAAAGAAAGAAAGAAACTTGACTATTCCAAAATCTAATTTAAACACAATTTCCTTTTTTTGGTTTTCTGAGCAGATTTTTTGCTAGCTATTAATATGAAATTAGAATTACATGTCCCCATCTTCATCATCACTTGAATATCTGGTCTCGGAGCACTTTAAGTATGTCACCAAAACTGCAGCCAGATTTGCACTCACAGCAGTTTCTGAATTTAGAGATGAATTTCTGATAGATAGGCAAAAGGGGAAAAAAGAAATAGAGCTAATCAATTAAAATAGGCACAAAAAAGGATCAGAACAGGAGGCTGCTGCCCATGCAATAAGAAACTGGGAGAAAAGCTCTTGGAAGAGAAAAATATACAGTGGCCAAAAGTGTGTGGGAGGATTTATGTAACTATAATATAGGGACAAATTTGTCTCCAGAAATTCAGGACATTCTCACTGGAAACAGACAGAGAGATGATAGATGACAGATAAATAAATAAATAAATGCAGGAGAAAGGTTAATCAGAGGTAATTATAGCTTTATATTAAAACTAGTGCTATCAAAATTAGCACGTTAATGCAGTTTAACGGCGTTAAAAATATTTAATGCAGTTAATGCAGGGGCGGAGCTAGGGTTGGCCAACCCACTCACAACTGCTACTTCTGTCTCTTTTTCTTGACAAGAATTGCATTTATTTAAACGCAGAACGTCTTTACAATCACTTCAAATGGGAGACTTTTCAGACGCGCACACTCCAACTTCATCTAAGCGACAGGCGCTAGTCAAACGAGCGCAGAATAGGTACAGGTCACGAGGAGCTTCAGTAGAACAACAGTGAACTGCGGTCAGATGAGATGTTTTTCCTGTCTGCTCTTCAATTATGCTAGCATTTGTACTTTTGTAGCATACTTTTGTAGCTTTAAAGATTCATCTATAATTAATTTAGAATTTAGTGTTTGATCATTTATTCAATTTCTGTATATTTCTGTAAGTAAATATGACATTTATTATAATGGGTTTATGTGAAGATTATTCTAATTCACTTAAATTAGAAGCTGTTATTTTTTAAAGTCTAATAAATGTTCAAATTGATAGCTCTTAATTATATTGTAATGTTGAATGGCTATAGTTAATGGTTACATATTAGGAGGGAAAAATTCATAGAGACATCAGTAGAATTCCTCATTTAGGGGAGAAAAAAGGCAGACAATTTCATTACGTTTATGAACAAACACAACACAATGCATGATTCAAAATACGAGTAAAACACCTGTAAAAAATTAATGTGGAAAATTCTTCATATTAACAGGCCATATTAACATATATAGTGGTATGTGCGTGCAAATGTACACCATAAAATGACAATCAATATCCTCAACTAATCTTAGGATTCTGACAACTGGCAACTCAAGAAACCCATATGATAATCATAGAGCACATTTCACACAATTCCACCAGTCACAATGTAAAATAGTCAATAAACTAATCCATTTAACAGGTCTTCCACTACAACCAGAGGAAATCTAGGGTTAAGTTGGACAGCAACATTTATTTCCCCGATCTCCTTTTATAAAATGTATGAACATGAAAACTCACAGAATTATAGCTTAGACTTCGATCTATGTAGAGAAGTACTTTGCAAAATGTCAATTCTGAAAAGGTGGCTATGACGCTGTGTGGCAAAAGTCTCTTGCTCCTCTTTTTTTTCCCACTCTATTCAGTGAAAAATAATGCATTATGTTCCCAAGGACGTGAAAGATGGGGAATGACATTGTCTTGATCTTCTGGAGAAAGTGGCTTGAGTAATTTGGTAAATTACCTGAAAGATAGAGAAAGAGTAACCCCGGTTGCTCATCTGTGCCAATTCAATTTACAAAAAATAATAAACAAAGAAAAAAAAAAAGTCAACTGTGGTTGCCCAAACTGTACTGCACATTTTCCGATCAAAAAAAAAAAAAAAACCTACAAAAATAAATAAAGATTATTAATGTTTAATGTGAAATTCCAAACTGAGAAACGATCACTTTGACAAATGTATATACAAGTAGGATGTACAGTATATGTTAAAAAGAGACAATGTCCTAAAAACAAGTCTAGGCATAATCCTCCATTCTCATCTTATCGAGTGAGGAGATCAATGTTGCTGTGGGAAGAGCTGAGGTGTTTGATTTATCCAGTAAGGTGTTGTCTTTGTGTTTGCTGTTTCTTGTCAGCGCCTCCATTGACCCTTTGAGGACTGGCCTATGTAGGTTTCATCAAATGACCAGGCACAAGAAGGATAAGTGAGAAATAGAGAGAGGAAAAAACTGACGAGAGTGTTTGGGTGTGTGCATTTTCCCTGCGATACGTAGCACCCAGTCTCCAGACTTCCAAATTACTGTGAAATGCTGCAACCTTAATAGCCCTTCTGGCCTCTGGGTGTGTAAGCACATACCCTTAAGTATACTTTACCAGGCCTAACAGCATGACTAGGTTCCCTATAAATTCTGAGACCTTTGATCTCTAATGTATTTTATTGGTGGGCAAAAGCAAAAACTGTACTCCCTTGCCTGCTGTAACAAAGGCCTGCATATCAGCTTTACTACTGCCAATATATCACACATCCCAACAGCTTCACTGGTCTAAATCATAACAGAGAATTGGCCATGAACTGAGACAGATTAATTGGTACTCTTGTTTTCCTTTACAGAAAACACTTCAAAACATTATTTTAGAGCCATTACAAGGAGATCTACCACAGGCCTGATGGCTGTATATATAATTTATTGAAAGACTTGTTTCTTTATTATAAATTTTATTATAGATTTGT